CATACCAAACAAATAAATTATTGAAATGTGCATTCCATTTCATTCCTGCACATCAAACGTAGCATAAGGGATATGAGATTCATTGAGTTCAAATACTCAGACTTCTCATTAAAGGCACAATGGAAGCGATTATAAAATTTCAGGAACGTAACCATATGATATTTCACCAAATCAATAACTGGAGTATTTGTAAAAGATTTCATACCTTTGGACGATTGATTAATCGTCAACACTCCGAGAATAATAGTGAATTAGATTGGTTTTCCTTTATCCTTTAAAATCAGTAAACCTTCACCTCTATATCCCCAGAATACACAGGTTTGTGGAAACCTTATATCTCTCACTCTCGTTATTCTGTATTATGTAAGACTGTGTGTGAATTACAGAATCTCAACCTGAGAGATATATCGTGTATATAGATAAGGCTAAAGATGAGGATCAAAAGGGATTCTTATCTTAGTTCCAATTAGATAAAGATAAAGTTATCTCATAACTTTATCCTATCTAATTAATTACAATAAGCACCACAATAATATTGTAATTGCACTCTAGGATCTAGAAATTACAACAAGGCCCTGTCATACTAAATAACTACATATAAGTTCCTCCACTACCAAATATCCATAAGTAGCCCCAAGGAAAATAAATAATGTCCCACCTAAGGCATGCTTACTTCTTATATTCCTTGAGTAACCAATAAATAAATATTTTTCAAAATAAATATTTTTCTCAATAAATAATAGAAAATTAATTTTAGTAAACATTTTATTAAAATGTCCTGGCCAGTTTCCAGTGATCAAACTTATTAAATTGCACCAAGTGGATATTCTAACTCTTATAGAGTATGGATTCCATGTTGAACATTTGTATTCCCATAACTCCAACATTAGCCACCCAATATACCATGGTATTGACCTTAAAAGATCTCACATGTTGGTAAGTCAAAGGATCAATACTGAAACTTGAGTCCACTAAACCTCTCAGGATTTAGAGCTTAATGTATCTAGTAGATAAGAATCACACCAAAATAATAATATTAATTTGTATGGTGTGATCTTATGGTGATCCAGTTCAGTGTACTCCAAGCAGAGTAACACACTGTCTTAGAGTATAATGCAACTTGAGGACAATAATGCATCTCATACAAATATATGTAAAGCCCAATGCATGAATATCACATTTATTAATAAAATATCAAATTAATAATAAATAATTGGCTTGTAGGGCATATGATCCCAACACTCATAACCTAAAGAAGGAAACTCAGTCCACAGGAATGCCTGAACATGCATAAAGGAACATTTTGCTTTCTTATTACGAGAACTAATAAGCATGCCTACAATTTTAATAGTTCTCTTAGGAAACTGGATTAGGAAATGATCAGGGAAACTATGCCCATATGCTTCATGATAATCCTCTGTAATGAAGATGTACGGAACCTTTTTTTTTTCCCCGGGACTGTAAATGATAGGGGCAAGGGGTGTCAAACCTGGTGATATTCAAGCCCTCTGACCCGAGTGCTAGAAAATGATTAAAAAAAAAGTTGGAGTTACAATGTTTTCAATAAGGTTTACACAGATCATGATAATAGTTCAAGGTTTTCCCATAAACCATTAGGTAGAGTACAACAATTCATCTGCACACAATGGTTCTTTAATGCAAATGAAAAACCAAATTCTCATATTCTCACCTACGCTTTTCTTCATAAAAAGTTTGACACATTTGTCAGTCACTAGTCTCTATAACCATCTAATATTGTAAAACTACAATTAAAGACAGATATTTGAAGGCGGCTGTCTCAAAATTCATAGGTCAATTAAATTTGGCTCCCTTAGCACTCCCTCCTCCATCTCTGCTCTTCTCCTTCTCTCTCTCTCTCTCTCTCTCTCTCTATATATATATATATATATATATATATATATATATATATATATATCTATCTATCTTAGAGAGTGTTCAAACTATTTTGCTTAAAAGGTGCACCAAAAAGATAAAAAAAGCTATATGGAGATGGAAGTGGTGGTACCTGTGCAGGTCATGTATTTTGAGTTCAACAATGTGCGGTCTTTGGCACACTTGAGCGCTCCTTCTTACCCATAACGTTTAGGTGAATGCTATTTTAGCGCCCCAAATAGTCCAAAACATCCCTCTAGGTTTTATCATGTCTTAGATGACTTCGTTATTCAGCAGTCCCCTTGACTGGGAAGAAAAGCTCAGTAGGCCTAAATCATCCAAGGCAAACATCAAGTATGTAGATGATTTTATATTTGATGTCAGTGAAGTATTAGAGAACACTTCTCTCTCAGCAGCAGAACTCTTTGATGGTAGTAAATAAGGCCATTAAAGCCACCACCTCAGTTACTGCTAAAATAACAGAGTAGATGAATCTGCACCAATGTCACATGGTAAAAAGATAATGAGGCTTTCTCACCAAGACAAAAGAAGGGATTTGATCCTTTTGAAACTACAGCTGAAAAGACCTGTAAAAGAACAGAGCATGAAAGAGGAAGAGAAAAAAGTCTGTTTCATCATCGTAGAGTTCACAAGTCACAGAAGGACAAGATCGCTATCTCCTTTAAGAGTTTCCAAGATCCCATGCGAATAAAAAGAACAGCAGCAGCTGCAGAACACAAAACAATCTTCTATTATTCCAAAATCTTCTGTCTTCGACTACTTCCTCCTTGTCTTCTTCGTCTTCAAAAGGGTACAGGAAATGGAGTTTGAAGGACTTTTTCCTGTTTTATAGTGCATCTGAAGGATGAGCAACGAATAAAGATCCTCCGAAGAAATATGAATCTTTGTTCAAAAAACAATAAGATATTAAGAATGCGAGCTTCCAGACATTAGAAGGCACAAATTCAGGGTCCAACTTAAAGAGAAGGGAACCAATTTCGGCTCATGAATAGCATTACACGGTGAACAAGGCAGTTGCAGAGGATTTGAAAAAGAAAACCTTCCTGCCTTTCAAGCAGGGTATATTGGGATGGCTCATTCAATCCTGTTGTCCATGCACTCGCCAAAAGCTTTGGGTTTCCGCATGGATGAATCAGCATGATATGTTCAGATATCAATTTATCTATTTTTGTTGTAAAGATCACTGTTAAATGCATGATGTCAGTCATTCGGGAACTAAACTTGTGTTTTGCTTCCCGAGAAAGAGTGTATTGGAGTAATGGAAATTAAAAGAGAGTCCTGCCAACCAAGTGCTCTCATTAATTTTCATCAGTATGGTAATTGTAAGCTTTTCTCTCTATAGTTCAGTACTATTACAGTGTTAAATTGTGCTTTATTTACTGTTATAAATCTCATACGTTTGATTACTGTTTAAAGCCCATATTGCCCTGTATTAGCTTATTTGTCTGTTTGACTGTTAAAGCTTTGTCACAGAAATACACGGTTTTAGGCACCATAACAAGAATCAAAAGGTCTTAAGAACCCTAAACTGTTTCTTATGGCACAATCTACTTCTGTTCGATGTATCTGTAATATCGTAGGAAAAGACCCTAATAACTATAGTCATACTGCCCACTTTTTAACTTCAGATCCGCCCAATTTTAGCCAAATTGGCGCAGGTATAAACTTTATAATAGATATGGTTAATGATTGGAAATACTCGTTTCAACTTAACCTTGAATCTACAAATTCTCAAATGGAAACCTCATTTGGATAACTCATCCCAAGGACTTAGTAATTTATGAAAGAATTGGGGTAACCAAAGTTCCATAGAATTTGGAGGAAGACGCCTAAAATATTTACTGAAACATTAAATTAAGCAGTGTTATTGGTGAAGAAATTCAGTTTACAAACGAACAACTAGTTCAGTTCGCTAAACTCCAAAAATTGAAAAAAGACGAAATCTACAAGACGTCCAAGTTCTCTATCTTTTCAAAAGTTCTTTTTCATAAATAATATAATTCTGTTCACTGGGTTTAAATTTCCCATAATTATAGCCACAAATCAGAAGTTCTTTTTCATAAATAATATAATTCTGTTAATTGGGTTTAAATTTCCCAGAATTATAGCCACAAATCAATTCTTCAATGTCTTTCAGAAAAACTGAAAAACCATGGAATCATTCTATCTCCAACAAAGATAGATGTTGAACATCATTATTAAAATTCATGATTTTCTTGATGTTATTCAAGATAAAAAGCAGTTACAGAGCTTTTTAGGAATCTTGAATTATGGCCGCAACTTTATTAAAGATTTGTCTCAAAAAGAGCTTCCTTTAATAAAGAAGCTACAGAAAAATAAAGCATTTGACTGGACGGATAACGATATTACTGTTGTCCAACAAATCAAAAGAGATTTGGTCCATATCCTGAAGTTTATTTTTCCCAAAACGGTGATAAACTTATTCTGGAAAGTCTCCGACTTTTGTTGGGGTTATGTGTTAAAAACCATTCCACAAGACAAGTGAAATGAAGCTATTTTCACAAATCATCAAATACAAGCACGCAAAACTCTCTTCCCTAGGGATATTTAAGGTGTAGCACTACAATTAGAATAGTTGGTGCACAAATTCGTGGTCAACTTCTAAAAGATCTTCGTGAAAGTCTATGAGTCCGGCACAACATAAAAATGTACGCTTTGCATTCTAGGCAGTGAGCTCTTTCGATCAACACATCAGATCAATGTATAAGGCTAAGAAGTAGATTTCCAAAGTCCAGGTTATAGTAGCAACTTCATAGCCTATGGTAGAACATGGAACTGTGCGCTCTAAATGCTAAAATAATGGGATTTGTAGTCCTTGTCATGAAGAAATATAGTTTTTACCGACATTACCTGCAATAAACTATGAATGGCACAAAAAAATTTCATGTTGTCCATTGAATTTAATTTTCTTATAGGAAAAGGAAAGTAACATTTTAGAAATGACATTTTTTTTCATATATAAAACATCATATATAACTGAAAGCAATGTAACATGAAACGAAAAATAACATAAAACACCCCGAAATAAACCTATGAAACAAAAAATAACATAAAACACCCCGAAATAAACCTAGTTAAAAGAGTGATTTTATTTTAGAGTCGCATAATGAACACAAGTGTAACATTGCTTCAGAAAAAATGAAATGGCACAGAACTCTCCCAACCAACAAAAACTATTGAGATCAGTTGTAGGGTCACAGATAATTGTACAAAGTTCGCAAGTCAAATACCAAACTCTCAGTCGAAGTTATCAATTCTGATTGGAGTGATGTCATCTGCGACCTTGAAGTGTCCCACTACACGTGCAAAGAAAACCATTTGTTGTTCCAGTGTGAACTTAATGTTTTCAGCCTGTGTATTACAATTTGATCAATGCTAACTGTTTTCCAAGAAAAAACAGATTCATTAATAATTATAGAATTCCACATACCTTGCGAAAGCCATGTTGCTCTCCTTCATACTCCACAAGAGCAACAGGCAAACCCTTTTCTTTCAATGCCAAGTAGATTTTCTGAGCTTGACCAGGGGGTACAACCTGCAACATGTGGACAAGATTTTCATACTCATTATTTGAGAATATTGAAATTCAGAATTATCAGGACATCATAAACTTGTAAGGGAGAGGGAGGGAACTAATGCTACTTAAAAAATCACATTAACATAATCTAACCATGGGCCGTAGTCTAGTGGTACTCCTCACCTTCCAAATTAGAAGGTCGAGGGCTCAAGTCCACATAGGAGCAAAGTGGGTGTGTGAGTTTCTTGCCAAGGTAATATATATATATATATATATATAATCTAAAAAGAGTTTGAAGCTCAAGGTGTACAATATAGACCACACAGGAATATTTCATACTCTTGTCAATGTCAGATCATGTTGACACTGGCATCACAGAGGAAACATAAGAGTCCATGTGACCTAGATCAAAATTCATGGGTATTGTTTACAACCCATAACAGCTCCCATTTAAGCCTGGAAGACTTGCTCCTTTCTTTTTCACAAAGACACAACAAATAACACCACCGATAGACCTTCTTTGACGCAGTCCTACATCATTCATTACTTGTTTTTAAGAAGCTCTTTCAGGGGGACAAAGAAAAAAAGAAAAGAATGAAGTAGGAAACAAGAAAATAAAGGAGCAGGAAATTTCTGATCTCCATTGTCGTAAATTGATCAATAACAAATGAAAGAAAAACAAAGAGAAAAACATAAAACAATGTTGTCCTTGCCTTATCCTCCAATCCTTGGAACAGAATTATGGGGCAAGAAAATTTATCGACAAAGTTGATGGGTGACCTCTGAAAGTAATCATTTTCACTTCCTGCAATGTGTCAAAAGATTATCTATCACAACACTATATTGAACAAACAAATTAAGTAACGCTTGCACAAAAAGGTAATTTAATCATTACCAACAAGATTATCGATATAATGAGATTCGAACTTAGGAATTTCTGCTCGCAACAATTTTAAGTCAGCTACCTGTTCATTGACCAACAAGATACGAAAAGAAATTGTCAGTTTACGATTTCCTTGAAATTCAAATAGATTGTTCTATTAAGTATGAAATCAAGGTGCAGCCTAGGATTGAGTTCTGAAATTAGTAACAAAGAAGCCATGAGGTGGTTCTTTGCAAGGAGTTATGAAGATTGAATCATTCTTAACGATAAACATTTAGTTTTGATGACCGAATGGCAATAGAGAGTTCTCAGTATTAGAAATGAGGCAGTAATTGGGAAAGGAAATGCATTCTAGTAAGCAAGCCAGGCCATTTGCCATCATTTGGTAGCTTTGGGAAAATTAGGTGTCTATTTTAGGAGCCCCAATGGGGTACCCTTTCTGAATATTATAATTCCATTTTCACATCATACATTTTTTTAAGACTCCACAGACAGTACATCCTTCATATATAAGGAGTATCATCATGCATATTTCCCTGAAAGTTCATGAAGGGGATGTAGTAATATCTCCTATGGGCAACACTCATTTTCTTTTCTAAGAAGCAAATAATTTACAAAAGCACTACAACTCATCAGCATACACTTGATTTCTGCACATATTATATGAACAAATCCACTGTAATTTTCGTTCCTTTTTCTCCATGTTTTCTCCAACTAATACCAATAGCTTGTAACAATCCTGAAGAAAATCCTCACTAAAAGCTAAAAAATGCACAAAATTGATATCACCAGGCAAAAAGAAATGCTCATGAAACCAATCTGTAAGTAGGCATGATATTCAATTGAGGATAAGATCAGGGACTCACACCATACAAAGAAGCTCCAGCCTTGAATATATCTCTAAAAGCAAGAGCAGCTAATGTTGTGTACCCACCAGCAGAGCCCCCAGTAATGCATAATCGTTCTCCATCTACTTTTCCGCTCTCTACCTGGGAAGCCAAACACATATTACCACATTCGGAACAATGTTTTTGTACATCCATCCATCATAATCTTGAGAGTTCAGAAATATTTGAATTATATTTACCAAAAACTTAGCACAATTGCAACAGTCATTAACATCAACAATTCCCCAACGCCCCAAAAGCCTTTCTCGATATTCTCTGCCATAACCTTCAATACAGTACCAAGTTAACCTTAGCAGAGGATATAGGAGGCTAAAATACAAATTAAATGAGATACTATATAATAGTTTATGACAACTAGAAGGGTCCAACACATTTGTGAAACAAAACCAAAGGAAAGTTTTAGCTGCAAATAAGTAAAACCTGGAGTTTAGACCAATAAAACAGCAGTGTTGTTTTACCGACCCCATAACTAGGCAACAATCAGATCCTATGAAGAATAAATTCATATATATATAAAGGACATACAAAGGTTAAGGACATACCAGTGCTTCCACCATAATTAACATCCACAAATGCCCAACCTCGACTAGTCCAATACTGGATACTAAGATTTAAGATTCCACGGGTTTCACAAGTAGGCCCTCCTACAATATGCATGCAATTAAAAAATCATTATATCTATAATTCAAAAAGGATGTATAAAGTAATCAATAGTGATGACACGACAAGTCCAGGAACAGCTTCATTTTTTAATAAAACCAAGCAACTAAATAGTTCCACTTTTTCAACTACAACCCATTAACGCTGCAACAAGAAACTAAACTAATTAAACTTTTCCACTGCAATGTTGTTCCAAATATAGACAATAGCAACATTTTCCGAGCAGCTATACACTTTTTATAGCACCTCGTCTGTGTACGACTGCACTTCTGACAATAATATCTGACTTGATTTAATACGTAACATTACAAAATGCATTCAGATGGATACCATGTCGGCATGTCCATAATATGGAAGCACCAAAAAAAATGCACAAGCTGTGGAAAACCAGGACACTAGATGGAGCTTCCATGTAATAGTAACATTCCCATATAACCCCCATCCCCTCCCTGCCGAAAGGAAAATAACAAAAGTTAAAACCATTATTGCTATTAATTTGGCCTGGATTATATACCAAACATTCCATAAATCTTCCAATGCACAATTCAACTCATTTCAAGGTAAATCGTGTGTCTTTGATTCACTTTGCTTTATTACTTTGTGGTTTGGATTATTAGATTAGATTATGATTTGCATAATTATGATAATTAATTGATTTAAATTTGTTAAAATCGAAATTAAGTAAAAGTGAAAACATAATGAAATATTTAAAAGACCGGTTCACCCCTTAGGTCTAGTCGGGACTAGCCCATACTCTCACATCAAATCCTTGGGTTACAGTCCTATATTTCTCAAATGTTTGTGTTAATCTTTAGAAAGATGCTCCTTCAAACCCTTTCTTCTTGTGCACTGCCATAAGTAGGCACTCATGTGTCAAGCTCAAATGGTTATTTGGGCGCAGGTAGAGGTAAACTACCGATCACATATCATAAAATACCAAAACCACACGTAGAGACATTAATAGGATAAAAGGTACTCGAGAACAATCAAAGAATATTGAATTGTCAAGTAACTGCAGCGATGGCAGGATACATTTGATATGCATTTGTCAAAATTGATAAATGAACATTATAGATTCAACAGGATCAATCTTAGTTAACAAAGTAACCAAAAGTACCATGGCTTTCCAATAGTAGTGGAGGTTTCTCTTCAGGACTAGCTTGATAAATTGGGTTGGTTGGTGGATAAAAGTATGCATAGGCAATTTGACCTGGAACCTCTGTAGGAAATTCAATTAATTCTGGCGAGCTACAGTATGATTTATACTTTGAACTATCAGGTGAAGACGACCAAATAATCTTGAAATCAACTGCTTTTAGTCTCTGGTCATCTAAAGTCACCTGCTAACACAACAAAGGAATATTGAGAAACACAAGTAATGTTACAGCAGGAACACTTTGTATTACCATTTCAAAGAATTTATGAGAATTAAAATAAAAAATAAAAAAACAATTTCCAAATATGAGGAGGAGGCAGCACCTTAGCTATTGAAAAAGGATGAACTGCAGATGCTCCCTCAATGTACAGACAATCAGATCCCAGGGTCTGCATACACAAATAAATATTCACATCATAAAAGACCATCACCACATTACCAACGAGAGACATTTTGAATCACTGAATCAATTGAGGATAAAGTTCTTGAAGATACAATATTATTTATATCTGTGAAAGAAATATCAATTAGAGATGGCGTGCTCCAAACATCATCCAAAACTCCGAGAAATGACCTCCCGTTTTGCCTGCCATCATCCATAACTTTGATTGAATTAAAAGGTTTTCAAATAGAACTGCAACTAAATCCCAAATGAGGAAAAGGTTAATGCATACAATAACAATGTGGAGGCAATATATTTCTAAGTCACCTGTAACTGCAAGCGATCAAGTTCTTTTGTTCATAATTTGGAATAAATTCATAAGAGTTCATGCCAAACATCCATAATGGTCTTGTAAACTCAGCATCACACGAATAAATTGGCAGCACCTTATTATCAGACTCAATCTGTTGCAAAAGAATAAATTTAATAAATTATCAATTCAAGTGGCCTCATAATAGAGAAAAGAAAGAAAAAAATTATGCTTGACCAAACAATGCTGAAGCAACATGGGGCTGTGCAAGCAAAACTACTACTCCCTCTCTAAATAAGAGCAAGAAAACAATATGCAACTTCTATAAACATTGTAATGTTTACCTCTTCCTAGGTGTGGTAGTTTCTTTCTCCTTGGACATATACGGGGACCTTTCTTCAGATGCCATAAAATTGTAAATTTTATTACTTCATAGGGTGTCATAATCTGTAACGTCGTTATCAATTGGATAGTCCACCGCTCATATATAGGAGCATTATTCTAAGTTTTTCCAACCAGTAGTAGCACAAATTCCATAGAAGATAATTGCAAACTCATAGAAAAAGAATTTAGATATTTCAGCAAGGAATGCTTATGGCTGTTTTTGTTCAGCCTAATGTCTCTTTAATCAGATCAAATATATCAGAAACTATCCAAGTATTACATCATAACATAGTAGGCGACTTTACATGAATTTCATGAGTTATGAAATAGAGTATAAGGGACAAAGAATAAGAGTTTTCATAAGGTTATCAATGCATGGACTGCAAACAAGAATGCCAAATGTACCATGTCATATATGTTTGACAAATGCATATGCAATCATATACATGACAAAAAACCTGGACTTAATAGTCAAAAGATATAATATCGGTATCTCAGTCTAATACAACCACCCAAAATGAAGAAGTATGAAGTTACCCATTTATGGAGATTCCAAAACCCATTGTTTCTGTCAGTGATGAAGAATAGTTCCCCTGCAGTAACAAATATAGCAAATCAATGCATGTGAAATTTGAAGCCACCCGGAGTTTGTGCCCCCAATTAATAATGTATACATACTTGTAAAGATTTCATAATGACTTGATCATCATATATGACTCATTGCCATACTATGAGAAAAATAAAAAGGCAACATGATGGAATCCTAAAAAATGCAAGAGGAGCTTGACCTAATTCAAGTTATTCAACAGCACAAACTGGAAGCCCCAATTTCATCCTAGAAAATGCAAGAGGAGCTCGGGCTAATACCATAGCACAAATTGGTAACCCCAATTTCATTACAAAACGTATCACTATTTACCTAATAATGGCTGTGACAATATTGAAGGCTTGATAACAAGGGCTGGTCTGCATCATTGCATGTTTTGGAATGAAAATGGAATTTGTTTACACAGAAAAATGCAGAACCCAAAAAAGAGCACCTTCCATGTTTACTGAAAATCTTCCATAGTTTGACATTTTAAAATCAGATGATATATTTGAGGGGTTCAACTTCAATTTTAATATAATTAATCAGAATCAAACTATTTATAAGACCACTTACTATCATATTACTCAATCAGATGTACATTTTTATAATTACAAAATGCATTCAAAAAATAGAACCTTATATAACATAGTGTGAAACAAAATGTCGTCCATTACTCGTGTGTTACATTGATGTTATCAGAGAATTAATTGAAAGCTGAATATATATATATACGCATACACACACAAATACAAATATATCTTCATTTATATCCGTCTATAAAAAAGGTGAAACCACGCGGACTGGGAAGCAACACCCTCCACCCCATTTTGCCCTTGTATTTTTTAGATTACAGACATGCCATTGTAAACCTTCCTTCACTCTTAAACCTCGGGTTTCCACAAATTAAGTAGTTGCTACTCCTTTATTCATTTACCTATATAAGAAGAGATGTATGGTCAAGGGAAATGACACCCACTTCCAACAAGAGGCCTTAGTTTTAAAAAGATTTCATCAAGTTAGTAAATTAATTAAAAGAGAAAGAAAGAATTACCTTTAGATGACCACTTGGGTTCAGTTGGAGATTCAACAAGTGTATGATCACCGCCAGCAACACAGATGCGTTTGTAAACATCTCTGCACAGTAGCATTACAAAGTAATGAAAATTAAAGGAATTTAGGTACATAAAAAAAAGTCTAAGGAAAACATAAAATCTTATTCCGATCCAAAAGTAAACATAACATTATGCAACTCTTTTATAAGAATTTTAGGCGAGTCCAGGCATGTCCGAATTGGGTAAGTACCCACTGAAAGAGGGCTTCCCTCCAGGTCTGATTCTCCTCGAGGGGTTGTTTGTGGGGGAAGCACTAATTAGCTTGAATGGAAAGTCCAAAGGATAAAATCTCGCTCACAACCTCAGCTTTTTTTAGAGAATGCCACTCCTCTATCATAGGCTTGTAGCTCAGCAGTCCGGTGGGCTGTAGGCTAAAGTAACTATAGGTGCTGAACAAGCAAGCTGGAGATGTTGGAGAGCATCCGTGTTAGAAAATACATCACACCACAAGGTCAATAGAGAATTGGATAAATTAAACCATGAGCCATAGAAACCAATTTGTACAGCAATGAGAATGAGCGACAGGGTTACAGTGTGACAAGGATGAAGAAAACCAAGAAATAAAAGGAATGATGACGGAGAGAGAAAACACATGTATGTAGTGTAAAATGCAGGAAAAAATCATGTAGCCAACCACAAATTATTGGGATCGGGTTCTTGGTGAGCTGTATCAAGGGACAGCAGCAACTGGTGAAGGGGGGTACAGTCACTAAGTTTAGACACCTATGTGGTGGAATAAACAACTGAATTTTGAGTCCTCACAGCAATTTCCAACATATCTAAAATTTTCATTGCAAAATAATGAAACTATTAAACTACCAAGAAAAAAGATAATTGGAGAGGGAGAGAGAGAATGGACAGCTGTCATGGTTAGGGAACAAACTTGAACAATTTCACACTCCCGAGTATTTTTCCTATTCATAACAACCCCCTAGGAAGCATAGACATTCCTAAGAAATCAAAGAATCCATGTCAGACATGCCAAAAGACGTGCCGGTTTTTTTAAGAAAAATTATCTAATTGTAGGACACACTGCGGACACAACACCAACACGCCATGGACACGTGTCTAGCACACGTCACATTGTTAGAGAGTTTTAAAAAGAAAGATGGGTTAAAGTGTAAATATAATTTCTTTGAACATTTTTAATAATATGGTTGTGGAGTCAATTCTTTAAGCAATGAACTAATTATTTTTGTATCACATAAATAATTATGATTTGTGAAGTTTTCACCTTAGGTTGATGAAAAAAAATATTACTATTCAAATACCGGTTCCCATATATAAAAAGATATATTTATTAGTGGTTGTGTCATTGCCGTGACGCCGTGTCATCCCTGTGTCCGTGTTTCTTAGACAACCCATTTGTATGAATGAAAATTAAACAAACAAAACATCAAGTAAGCAAAGAAGAATTTACTTTTGTTGCAAAGATGATAATAATTATAAATGAATACACAGTGGACAGGACAAAGACAATGCGAGCTGTATAAGAAATGAGGAATCATACTCACCCATTCTCAGATATATAGCCAACCCAAAGCTCTGATTTATCCCACGGCATGTTAGGGTGACTCCACTCAATCCACGCAATACGTTCTCCTTTGGGGTCCAAACGTGGGAAGGCATAGAAGTCGTTGCCTCCAACTAATACTTTTGGTTCTGCATGATACATGGAGTAAGTCTTATGATCCCAATAAGAAAAGATAATAACCTCCTCCCTTGTCAGGTAATGACAAAACAGAAGTAATGAAGACAAGCAGAGCACTTAAACAATCCAAATCCCTCAATAATTTAATTATGATATGTGTAATCCCTAGTAAATATTCTCCCAACAAATCTAAAACTAGCACATACACATTTGTAGACACACAACAACAACAGTAACAACAAACACCACCAAGCCTTTTTACCAACTACTTGGGGTCCGCTAACTTGAAGACACACAGAAGAGTAATATATTGTTAATTACATATTCTTACCTTGGATATCCTCATTGCTGAGGTCCACTGAAGCAATAGTAGTGATTGGATTTTGACTGCTTTCGCGATGATCTATCAAGATTGAAGCATAAATACACAAATTAATGGTACAAACATGCATTGCAACCTCAACTTATATAACTGCACCTCATAAGCCCTCGATGGACTAACATTATATTATCAATCTTTTTTTTTTTTTCCAGTAACTAACATTATATTATCAATCTACCTTCTCTTACAGTAATATAACGGTTGAAGCGCAAATCAAAAACTCCATCTGCGTAACACATTCTCGGTCCGCCATAATCTGCTGTAAGTGGCACTGGAGAATAATCTGCAAGGTACAGAAAACTACTTCATTTGAACTTTAAAGTTCCAAATAAATTCCAGCAAGCCAAATTTTAATTCGGTTACTAAATTTTCTTCAACTTAAATGAAATCAATTTAACTTAAATGAAATCAATTGTCGCTAGCATAAAATTCTGAGACAATGAATTTAATGTTGGAGCATAGATCAAGAATTAGAAGATTCAACATATGTTCATTTGAAGTGCAATACAAGTGATAAGATAGTAAGCAGTTAGAGATTAACCTCTAGATACAATTGACTGTTTGTATAGTCTTTGATCTTTGTAATTCGAGAAAATTAGAGTGTCCCCTGAAATCCTGAATGCACCACCTCCATATTCTTGAGCCACTGTTCGCACCGCAAACTCTTTCGGCGTAACATCGATTGGTTCATCCCCTGGTTTCTCTGGTTCTTTAACAAGAACTACTCGTCTGAACTTATCCATACAAATTAAGAAAATGTCATATATAGAGTCACTTTTTTAGAATTTTTTTGGGATTTTGAGAAAGATGATTGGTGTTGGAGGCATATATGTATATACATACCCTGATTCGGTGGGGCGAGATTCGAGCCAAAATAGGCGGCCATGGCCGTCTACGGCGGTGCCGTCGAGACCCTTCTCGCCGCCGGAGACAACATCGGCGGTTATAGGGGACTTCCAAGAACCGTATGGTGCAGTGAGCTTCTCTCCAGTTGCTTCAGTTGATTGTTCGACAGTTGAAGCCATTCTCTGCCAGTGCCAGTGAGACGATGACCGAGACGACGTCGTTGACTACTTGACTAGTTGGAGGGAGCGAGTGAAACTGGCTATGACCAAGACCAATAGTTGCATTTAAGTAGTGGTTTTTGATATATATATTGGTTACAGATACAGACATACAGTGATGGGGATAAGAATCCAAAGATGGTGAGCAGCTAATAATATATTTTTTCTTTTCTTGGATGATTTAATGAGTGAATGGCAGACTCTCACACGCAACAAAATTATATCCTATTTTGTCGTGGATAAGATATTCCAAAATCACTGTCATCGGTATGTAAAATAAATAAAATAATCCGAAGAGCAATGGAAATGCTAAAATCAGACCATGAATGTGGATTTATTTTCTTTTGTTTAAGTCTCTATTGTATTTATAGAATCTTCTCATGCTTGTTAGATGTAATCATATGTCATTAGTATGTTCAGCTAATAAGCAAATAAAAAAAAATTTCAACCTATTCATTAGACATAACAATGACATGTTATGTCTAGCTCATTCAATATCTTCAGAAAAATTCACCAATTTCATATGAAAATACTGTTATTAGGGGTTTCTCGTATTACAACAATTGAGGGTTCGTGCAGAGGAGAACGCTGTTTGCATGTTGTGTGGTTTGAAGCTGTGTCTCAATAATGACAATGTTACATGTTGTCATTAGCCAGGAATAATTGTTGGTAAGGGAATAATTGATGCTGCTGTAGAAATCATCGCAGCTGACTGTTCTCCAGTTATGAAGATGCAGATGGTTGAAGCTCGCAAGAATTTTTGAGGATTATCCATGAGATCACTTGCCTGTGCTCCCCCATTTGCAATTCTGTTGTACGGCCATCCTAGTAACTCAGTTCACCTGATTCAGTATGTGCACAAGGCGTATACCATTAATCATACCTCATTACTTTTCTGCAGCATGCTCTATCACACGATCATCATCATCATCATCGTCATCATCATCATCATTCCATATCACATTTGCTTCATGTAAGGGCGGATCCAGGATTGTTGATGGGGGTGGGCTAATTTAGGATTGGGCTAATTTTGGGTGGGCTAAATTTTTTTTTTTTTTTTTGGGCTGGGCTGAAAGTAGTGTAGTAAAAAAAAAAAAAAAAAAATTTTGGGGTGGGCTGAAGCCCACCTTCGCCCACCCCTCCCTCCGGCCTTGGCTTCATGGCACGATGGGATCGCAAAAATGATTTTAAAAAACAATCACAAAATTGATTTGAAAAAAATCAATATGCAACAAAAAAGCTATGGCAGATTAATCCACCTATGGAGTGTGAAGCTGAGTACAAACATACAAAAAGATTCCGCTCACCATTTTGAAGTCTTGAAGTTCAGTGCATTGTTAAAATGTAAAGTAGTGATGTTATACAACTGCTTGTGGTTATATTTAAACAACCATCAAGTCACTACACTTGAAAAAATAGCTGGTGCAGGGGTCAGTAAGCAATGCCGATATGTATCAAACAATTGTAGACCGCTAATGCCATTCAGGAATCACTAACCAGAAGTACCGTCACCTCCAAAGGCCGTCTCGAGATATGCAGTATTGATAAGATGGTTAATGTCACCCCATATTTTTACGATCCACTCCTCGCCAGATAGGTGAAATATGTTCACAGATGCATTCAGCACCTTCCCCTGCAATTTCTCTGTTGGAGCAGCTCGCTTGTGAAGTGCTCGCAAGACTCCACCATGAGTAACCACTACCACCCGCTCCCCTGCAAAGAAAAATATGCAAAGAGATTGGAAAGGAAAAACTAAAATGGAGACAAAAATTAAAAGCACCATTTGAACTTGTGATCATGCATGGAACAGACTTGTGACAACCACATGCGTAAAAGAAATTTCTCAGGTGCATAATATGAAAATACCCCGTGTTCCAAACCAAATGACCAGAATCTCAACTCATTCTATGATTTAAACGATCAAAGATATGTGATTCATTTGAATGATAGAGAACACTTAAACTAGTCATGACCCAAACCAAGAACTTTTGTCCACGGGCATGCCTGAACATGCATAAAGGAACATTTCGCTTTCTTATTCTGAGAACTAATATGCATTCTGACAATATTAATAGTTTTCTTAGGAAAAATGGATCCGGAGATGATTAGGGAAAGTATACCTATATGCTTCATACCAATCCTCTGCAACGAAGACGTGCCGCGTTGATATAGTTGATCAAGACTTTCTCCACCACCCTGAAAATGATTTAAAACAGGTGAACTGAAATGTATTCAATACAGTAATATAGTTAAAAGGTTTTCATATAAACCATTAGTAGAGAGTATAACTATTCATCTGCACATAGTGGTTCTTAAATGCAAATGAAAAACCAAAAATCCCCAAAAGAGAGAAGGAAACAAAATCCAAGAGAGTTCTTGCACTACTAAGTAACACCATAGCAGAACGAAGATCAAGTATGCACTACTAGCTACTCCACCAATAGCCTTGTACTAAAGTGCACATGAACTATGAATTTACATCTGCACATAGTGATCTCGCATGCATTCGCTATAAATTCTAAATTTCCCCATGAGGCTTTCCAAGATGGAATTTTCAACCTTTAAGAATTTTTTTAATGAATTTAATTCTCATCATAAATACATAAACTAGCAAAAGCAAGAAAATTTCAGTAAAAGCATCAAAGTCGCAACTTCAACCAACTGCTTACTGGTATTTCTTGATCTGTCCTGAAAGATATACATGCTTCAAAAGCATTTGGCTTAATCTCAGCTGCTTCTTTCAATACAAAACCTTGAAGATCTCCAAGATGTCTTTCCCTCAGGTCTGGATCTTGAACAACCTGAAACAAAATATGCAATTAATAAATAGGACTTATACAGTTGCAAAATTAGTGTAAACACATAGTCATATTGGTTTCCTAAAAAAATCAAAAGGTAAATGTAGCTAAATCTAGAACTCCAATCTCATAGAGAAGTATCTAGCACATTCCTGCGTTGACAAAATGCTCCTATAGTTTGATCCTCCTTCAAATGTCATTTGTTTGGTAATTCTTCATTGGTCCAGTTCTCTGTGGGTGTCTGTGTGTGTGAAGGAGAGATGTATACTAAACATATGAAATCCACCTTCACAGAAATATTTCCTATTTAATAAATTGCACACTGTCATCTCAGCAACCACACTTGGCACCTTCATCCTTGTTTAAACTTTAACCTCTCAATCTTCACTTTGAAACAATGCATCAAATTTCTGAAATTTTGAATATTTTATCTCAAAAATTCAGTTAAGAGTGTATCAAGTTGACTCAGCTGCTTCCCCAAAGCATATTTGAACTGATAGGTATAATAGATGTAGAAAAACAATATTTTCTCTAAAAGAATATAAGAAAGTATTCATCATTGGCCAAAAATAATATAATTAAAACAATGATGATATATAAAAAGCTAAAGTATAATAAACCAAGATGAAGGAATGCTTCAACAGCACATTTCAAAACAAAAATTTACACGATATCATTTGTAATCCTTAATTATAATCTAAGATTTCGATCATGTTCAGTTGGCAAGAAAAACAAACCTAACAGATGTGAAACATGGAATTTCTATTTTCTTAGTTCTGCTATGAGATTTGTAACAGGCAGCACATTGTTCATCAGAATCGATGACAAAAGAGGGCTAGGTGAACCATGGAAAACGTTTCTTCATGAATCATACCTCAGGAACACCACATTTACTTGCTATGATACAAGCAGTCTCATGAGCACGCTTCAAATCAGACGAGTACACGGCAGAAATTGTGGTCTCCTTAGAGAGTCTATCAGCCACCTTCAAAGCAAACAGAAGCTTCAGCAAACGGTTTTTTATGATTTGGATTAATGATCCAAGCAATCTTAACTTACTTTAACTGCTTGCTGTCTCCCAACTTCATTCAATTCAACATCGAGGTGTCCCTGATTAATGGTCATGGTTCCAAAGAGGCACATAAAACACATAATACATCGAATAGAATCATGCCTGGTAATAGGCCCATAGGTACAAAATACAGCACATTATGGATGTGGTCGCAGGTCATACCAGAAACAATAGACTATGAAATAACAGAATACTTCATGATCATATAATTCTGACCATGGTACTAGTTTACAAATTACAAGTATCGATATGCATCCTACAGGACCACTGGTAACGTTGTGATTATACTAAGTATCTGTTCAGCAAGTAAGAACTTCTAAAAGGGATAGGGTTACATAAAAAGGATGACTACATCAATTGGTAAAATACTAAAATCTATCATCATGCATCACACCAACTAAGGACACAACAAATTGTTTGCCAGTGTTGTTAGTGCAAGCACTGCATGGTTGAATTACCATTGCGGCATTGCCAAGCCTGGGAAAATAAAATGCTTCACCATAAACACCTCTCATCGTTTTAAGCAAATTTTAGGACAGTTCTCAAAGACGGAGCATATCTGCAATGATTCTCATGAAACACAAAAAGGGGCCAGGATATGGAAGCTAATGAAAAATACTAATTTGTTAAATGAACTTGATTTGTTAAAAAGGAAGAAGGGATTGAAAATTGCAGTATGCCCACGAGAATAAGGTGAAAGGAGAAACAGAGATAATTGGAAGATCATAGTAGATTTTCATACACAGAATTTAACAAAAGGATGTCACATGAATGGTAATACAGAAATGTAGATAATAAAACTAATGATCTAGTAGATATTCAGCAGAGACAGTACTGCTCCAAGGCTTAATAAGTAGAAGTAGAGGAAACATTAAGGATAGTTAACCGAAGATGGGTGGTTTGACATAGAAACTATTTTAGTGAAATATTTGGCTACCATGCTCGTCTTTTTGGAAGCGAAATATGCTATGCTTTTACTCCAAAAAGCAAGAAACACTCTTCCGGAATGATAAATAGGCTATTCATCTGACTTTCATTCACAAAATCTAATTCAACTTTTCATTTTTCCTACTGTGTCGTTTTTACTCTCCAATTGACAAACTACATTACCAAAATCAACCAATCTGGTTTAAAATCTGGTATATTCCTCCTTCTATTGTTGTTATTTGAGGTCCAACCAGTCTTTTGTTAGACAAAAAAATATATGAACAGTTCCACATAATTCCTATATTGCACATATATATAATATTTTATACCAAATGGTCAATCTGAACTTCACATCAAGAACTAACTTAGCTCTACCATTATTTAGAACTTAGAAGTGCCATCAAGAACTATATTAGCCCTACAATTACTTAGAAGGCCCATATGCGCCATGCACAAGCAAGATTTTGACTGCTTCACATTACATTTACACCTTTTAACAATGAAGCCCTAGTGACATGAAGAATAAAGAGGCCCATTTTAAATTATGAATTTCACCACTAATTGGTGACTAAAAATTAGTGAAATTTCACCATTACAGTGGCGAATTCCACCATTTAAAGCATAAAAAATAGTGAAATTTCACTATTACAGTGAAGAATTCCACCATTTAAAGAGTTGAAATTTCAAAGTAAATGTGGTGGAGTTGTTCAACGGAAAGTACAGCAAAAATAGTTAATAATAAAACTCCTTCGGCTAATTCTTTATGTCTAACTTATTGGCCAGTATATCATTGTTCTTTTGATTAAAAAGTAGAGGAGGGCTCTCTCTCATCATAAACAAATAATATGTGTGTGAATGTGTGTAGAGAGAGACCTGAATTCTTCCATCAACATTCCACGCTGTTTCTCCATGACGCACTACGATGATCTCGGCATAATCAGGAGCCATCGCAGCATCACTGTACATAATAATGATATTCACAAGACATATATATATATATATATGTATATGACCATTTAGATGCAATACAAACATGGGTTATATATAATACAGTAGCATCAATGGTATGATTAATTAAAAACAGGACAGGTACAGTACAGATACCTTGAATCAGACTTGGCAATGGTTGGCTCCTCCATGTTGAAGAGGGCAATGAGTGGAGCGGCCCAAAGTTTTACGTTCCAGATATATATATATACACAGTACCATTTATATATAATATATACTCCAAATGCGGCTTTTGTACGCTAAAGAGTGGCGGGCTGGGATTCGATTCTCGGTACGGGAAAGCATCACCACTTGTAGTTCAATTTGGGCAGCCCAGCCCAAATTGAATCCCAACTTTGAACGAATCTGGGCCCATATTACTTTGTTCATCATGTCAGCTTAGGTGCGACGGGTTGTCCGAGTGATAAAGGGTCAGACCTTAAATCCCCAACTAATACATAACTCTCTCTAATCATTGCGAGGTAAAAAAAAATAGAAAAAGATTATGTGACAATTTAATCATATAATGCAATGGATGACACATACACTTGACCTTATTCACTATATTAAATAAATTAAAATTTTAATTTGTTAAATTACTAGGTTAGAGGAATAGGTCTAAATAAGATTACTTCATTATATCGGTATTTTTAATAGTAAAATATTAATTTACTTGACAAATCGATATGTTGACTAAGGTGTGAATACTTTATGACAAATTAGGTTCACTAAATCTATAGCTGGTGTGGGGCTTACCACATGACGAGCCCACACGTTCTACATCTGCGGGTTTGCCATAATTGACTAGCCTTGTTAATTTTATTTATTATTCCATCCATTTCAAAATAATTATCAATTTTCTTTTCAATTTTTTAACTTTTTTATTTATTTATTATTAATATTTTTTGGTCCCAAATAAGTGTTCACTTTACTTTTTCAAACAATATATTTTACATCTTTCCATATATGTCTTTTGAGTTTAAAATATCAAATTTTAATATTCAAAATTTAAAGGACAAGTTAGTAATTTTTCAGACAGACAATGTATGTCCCACATGTCCTCTTAAAAATTACTATTTTCCATAAGTGACACTTAAGTTGGTACGAAGGGACTATTATTATTACAACATATATATAAGTATATAAAAAAATAATACTCTGTCTCAAAAACAATATCCTTTTCTCTTTTTTTTTTGGGTCCCAAAATAATTATCCACTTTTCTTTTTCAAATAATATATTTTACATATTTCCATATATGTCGTTGGAGTTTAAAATTTCAAACTTGAATATTCAAAATTTAAAAGGGCAAGTTAGTAACTTTTCAAGGGAACAATACATGGCCCACATGTCCCCTTAATAATTTTTACTCCTAAAAAATGACGTTCTTTTTTTGTTAGAGAGACTATAAAAAAAATGGTCAGTCACTAAAAATGGGCATTCCCTTCCATAGCCACCACAGTGGATAGCCAAAAGACAAGACCTTGTGGACAGGGACAAACCTAATGCATTGATGGGGCAATTGCCCCCTTGATTTTTTTATTTAATAATAAGTTATCCTTATTATTTTGGTTTTTAAATTATATACCCATGAAATATTACTATTGCACCTCTTAAAATTATTAAAAATTTCATTATTGCCCCCTAAATTTATTTTTTAAGAATTTGCTCTTCTTAATTTGGGTTTTTCAATTATGTACCATGAAATATTATTACAATCCCTCTAAAATTACTAAAAAATTCATTATTGTCCCCTACCTAATTTTATGGGTGCATCTCTGCTTGTGGGCATCCTTTACTCGTGTCCCTTGGTCTACTTACTCTTCAACAGGGTAAAAATAGCATAGCTCTTATTGTTGCTATTAAAGAATTTTAAATCCGTTCCTTCTGAACGTAACTTGTGATTAATGTATAATCTCATAAAATAAGTTTTGAGTTGGCTTATTGGATGAGAGTTTTATATCTCATGTTGAGTTGAGTTAGATTTTAACTAGGGTGGCAAAATGAGTCAAAAACCATCAACTCGTCCATATCCGCCTGTTTTTTAATGGCTACGGATGAACCATATTTAAGATGTGTCAAAAATGGGTTGAATAATTTTTAACCACTTAATTTGAGGATCAAGATGGGTTGGATATGGTTACCTATATTCAACCCATATTTCACCCATCACATAATATATACACAACATATAATGTTTATGATATATATATATATATATATATATATATATATATATTGTGGTGGAAAAAAAAATTAAAAAGGTGAATTTTCTTAGTGGTGGGACCCACCACCAAGATTTTTATTGGCCATTAGACCATTATTTGGTCTCATTCTCTCCCTTTCTCCTCGGCAACCCGCAGCTTCTCTCTTCCTCTTCTTTTTCTTTTTCTTTTTTCTTTCAATCAAGCTTTCAAAGCTTGATTTTTCCCACACCATTGAAAATTTGATAGTGGTACCTTAAGCAATGTTGAAGAGCTCGTCGTGGGCTTCGTATTGATCGGAGCAATTTTCAGTTTGGAGCATTTGGGATTTGGAATTTCTTGGGTTTGAATTTGAAGATTTTGGGGCTTTTCTATAATTAAGAGGTAGGGGTGTTCTAATTTGCAATCTCTTAGATTTTTGTAAATTAATTCCCTATAATTGAAGTATAGCATGCCAGATTGTAAATTTTTTTGAGAAATTGCCATGATGCTAGATATATGATTTGTATCTCTATGTATATTATGTGTAAATAATATGTGTGTATAATTTGTTGATTGGATATGGAAAGCATGCCTTTGTGATTATGTCCTTATTTAATATGTGTAATTGTCAAAATTTTGTTGACTTAACGCATGCTATAAATTCATGAGAAAATTCTTCTTTAGTATAAAATGTTGTTACAGTTTGATGATGTAAAAATTATGGTAAATTGTGAAGCATGAACCATTCATGCATCCATTAGAAAACAAAAAGAGGAAAAGTATTTTTTTTAAACAATAAAATTGTTTTGGGGAAACGTTTTCTAAAGTATTTGTGAAAAACCGGATGCCTAAAAGGCACCTAATGGTTCGTGGTGTTAGTGTGGTCTAGAGAAGAGTTAGAGAGAGACTATAGTGTGGTTGAGCTACCTAGGCCCAGACGACGCCACAGAGGTGCCATGTGGTCGAGGAAAGCTAGCCAACCCTCCCTTTACGATGCCTTGGAGGTGCCTTGGGTCGGATTACACTAACGGTTTGGAAGTTGAAACGGTATTGTTTCGGAAATGGGGAGCAACATTGCATGGCATGGCATTGTATTGGCATACATTGTATTTTTGGTGTTTATACGACTTGCGTATGTATTTGTTAATTATTATCGTTACTTTACTTGTTTTCCCTAAGGCATGATACCATTTATTTCTTCTCTATTCCTTATGTGGATTCACGGAGTCATAAGATGTGCGCCTTATACACTTCCTACTGAGCTTTATGCTCACCCCATCATTTTAACATTTTCAGGTCACGGAAAGGAAGTGGCGGATAACGTTCCTCCACAGGTTTTGATGGGTTAGTGGACTGTTTTGACATATTTTGTAGCTATGATCTCATTTTATTATTGTTATCATTATTATTATTATTATTATTTATAAATCCTGGGATGACACGTATATTATGTATTGACATAGGAAAGGACGGTAACGTCTTTAGTTAACCTCGAGTTTGGGTAAGGACCCGGTTAGCGATTTGGACCCTCGAGTTCGAGTTATTACAAATTTGGTATAAGAGCTTTAGGTTTGAAAACCTAAGGACTACGGGTAATGGCTTGCCTTGAGGGGTAGAAGGTTGACTTGCGTTGATTACGTGTTGGTGTTTATGTACTTGCTGTTTTATGAAGCATGCTTACTGGCTACTTGTTTATATGTTTACAGTTTTGAAGGCATGCCCATTTGCTAAGTGCCTATGTGTTTAAATTGCCAATATATGTAAATAAAGTGTTTATTGTTTTGAGAAGCATGTTTACTTGTTACTTATATATTACGGTATTAAAAGACATGTTTTCTTGATAAGTGTTCACATGTTTACATGTTTAAATATTAAAATTTGTGTTACATGGCTATTTATGTGGAATAATTATATATGATCCAACTATGTAAATGAAATGTGAAAGTATTTGAAAGCATGTTATACATAATAAGGTGGAAAGTATGTGATACATGACGGTGGCAAGCAGTATGAACAGTTGGTGCAATTTTCTTTTATGCTAATGTGACAAGTAATGAGCCTAAAATATGCAAAGCATATTTCGTATAGTATTGTGGGTTTCATTTATTTTGTATACGTATATATCTATATTCCTATATGTTTATGCAGATGAGCATTGGGGTGGTTGTTAGTATGGTAGAGTACTTGTCACGACATTGAGGGTTGTATAAGTTTTGACCTGAGTAGGAGAGGAGCTTGGTTGCTCCAGGGTTGTTGGGTACTGGTTCTTATTGAACTACATGTGCTGACTTCTAGCTCGTGGATTGAGCTATTCAGTGTGTAGTCATCTTAATTTTCTTGTTACATTTTGTGTGGTACTTAAGGCACGACTTTAGAACGAGTTCATATTTCATGGCAGTGTGTCTTTGTTGTGTCTAAGTTTCATGTATCGGTGGATGGGTTCCTTTGATCGTGGAGGTCAGGTGTGCGAGTGAGGGTTTCGAGTGAGAAATGTATGACCTTAAAAGGTTAGTGTTTGTGACTTGGGTTACGATTTGGTGTGGAGGTTCTTTTCGAACCGGTCGTGATAGGTGTGACAGAAGTTGTTTAAGTCACGAATATAGTCTATGGGTTGTAGATGTGTATTGCGGGTGTTCTGGTGCGGTCTAAGAAAATGTGTTGGTTATGGTTAGTTGAGGGGTGATTTTCCATTTCGAAAAGTTGCGAAAGTGTGCTATGGGTAATCGACTCTCGGTGGATCGATTACATGGCTCGATGGATGAGCGGAGTTATAGGTTGTTATGATTGTCGAGAGAGTCACGAAGTAAGGTATAGTGGTCAGTTTTAGCTGTGTAGTGCAAGATTGCACGATAAGACAGGTAGTGTGGGGTCATTGGTATGTTTGGTTGTTGCAGGTGAAGTGATAGATAATAGGTACTGTGTTACCAAATAAACTGTGCTTTTGAAATTAAAAACTGTGGACTAGAGTTGAATTTTATGTTACGTATGGGGTATGAAGAAGTAGTGCTTGTTGTTTAAAGATTTA